TGTTTTTCTTAGATTTTCATTTTCTTGGTATGTTGTGAAGTATTAATTTTCTTTGAGGTTACTCTATATTCTATAACTTTTCCCTCCATTTAAAATAGTCTATTTTATCCTGCAATCTTCCTGACTTCCTTATCACCTGGATTTCTGTTCCTATATTTTCCCCTCTTTCACATTGTAATTGTTTGGACCATAGACAGACTTCCCAGGTCCTCTGAATTCATTCTTGTAGTTTTGTTCTGTTCTGGACTCTTCTATATGTTGACTGAGGTAGTGTTGCCACGTCTGCCAATATCTGGTGTTACCTGTTCTTGTTGGTTTTCAGTCCCGAGAACTTCATTTAGGATGTTTTGAAGTGATGGATTAGCTTTGACAAAGTCCTTTAGCTTCTGTTTATCCTGGAATGTTTTGATTACGCCTTCATATTTGATTGACAGCTTTGCTGGGTAGACAATTCTTGGTTGGCAGTTTTTTTTTCTTTCAGGTTTTTATATAAGTCTCCCCATTGCCTTCTTGTCTGCATAGTTTCTGCCGAGAGATCAGCGTTTAATCTGATTTGCTTGCCTTTGTAAGTAATACTTCTCTTTTCCCTAGGTGCTTTCAGGATTCTTTCCTGGTCTTTGATTTTGGAGAGCTTGATTATGATATGTCTTGGTGATTTTCTTTTGAGGTCTATCCTTCCTGGGGTTTGTTGAACTTCTTGAATGCTTATCTTCTTATCTTTCAGGATGTTAGGGAAATTCTCTTCCAACAGCTCTTCAACTATCTCTTCTGTGGTCTTCTTAGATTCCTGCTATTCTAAGACTCTGATAATGTGCAGATTATTCATCTTCATGCTGTCCCACATGAATCTTAGACTTACCTCAGATTTTTGTATTATTTTTTTCTACTTGCTCTTCTATCTCAGTGTATTGAGCCATTTGTCTTCAAGCTCACTGGTTTTGGCTTCCATCTCTTTAATGCTACTCCTTTACCCTTTCAGTGTATTGTCTATCTCTGACATTTTATTATTAATCATTTGGACCTCTTTTTTGCAGGTTTTGAATGATTTCCAATGCTATTTCTATCTTAGCTGATTGTTCCTGACTTCTTCCTTATTTTCTCAACCCCTCTGTGGAATGTTTGTATGTACTTCAATGTTTGTATGCCCTCCTTCCAATGGGAATGTTAGGTCTACCACTAGCTCATTTGATTCAGTTACTCTATCTTGTTTCTGGACATGAGCTGAGATCTTCTATTGTTTTTTGGGTATTTTCAATAATTAGATGTATTTTCTATAATTAGATGAATGTATGTTGCTGTATAATTAAGTTTTCTGAGTGCCTCCTAGTAGATGTTATCAGGAGATAGGCTTCCCTTTTCACTTCTCTTATTACTCAACTGAGAGTAATTTTAGCAAATGTTAGCTGATATTGGCTCTTGCCCAGATGGTGGGATTTTATAGGGGGAGATTGTAGTTTGGCTATATGTCCACAATTGCTGTCTCTTCTTGAGTAATGTAGGGAGGGAAAGAGCCCACCCCAAGATAAAAGGGGACCCCCCCCCAAAAAAAAAACCCATAGTAAAATAGTTTAGGTGTTTTGCCTAGTGGTAAACAGTTCACAGCTGAGCAGATCCATGCACATGCACAGTAGAACCCTCCAAGGACAGGGGGTGTCTGCTCACTCAGGCACTCCCTCTAGACTGCATAGTGGAGATGTGCAGGCAGAGAAAGGGAAATGAGTGGGCAACAGATTATTCGCACCTTTATCTCTGATGATTGGTCAGGTCTTTGCAATAGGATTTCTGTCCTGCTTCTGTATTCTCTGTGACTTTTTCAAGATGGCTGTGCCCTTCTCTAGATGGCAGTACTGTTTCAAGATTGCATGCTCCCTTTGCAAGACATCTGCTCTTGGAGTCTACCTATAGCTGCCACTCAGCAAATGCCACTTTTCTTGCTTCTGCTACAAATTCTACTAACAGTAAGCCTTTGATGCTTATAAATATTCCTTTATACATAGTTTAGAGTTCCAGAACCATCCCTTGTACCTGTTTGTCTGGTGTTTTGTGCTATTGCTGGCAGAGTTCTGCTCAGTGCTTCTCCCTAATCTGCCATCAAGCCCCACCTTTAGATTTTTTTTTTTTTAATATAAGTTTTCTTGTGTTGTTGTTGTTAAGTGCCATCAAGTCAGTTCTGACTCATAGAGACCCTGCATAGGGTTTCCAAGGAATGGTTGGTGGGTTTGAATCACCAAATTTTTTAGTTAATACTCCAGTGCTGATCCTACAATGCCACAGAGGTTAGGACCTATTTTAAGATTTAACATAATTTCTAGTTAGATTTCATTTAAGATTATAATGGTTTATGAAATTATAGAGATTTTAGTAAGATAAATTATGGTTAATTCTGACTGCCTGCTTCCAGTGTACCTTGGAAGGAATCCTAGTCATGACCTTATTTAGATAGATACTAGAAATCTACAGAACCCTATAACTCGAACCCAAATTATATTCAAGAGAAATCCTTCACTAATGACTCCTTTGGTTCTCCTGATAAAACCCAGGCCCATTACAACCTGAATCCAAAATATTAGGGCTGTTTTTAGGGTTCCAAATGAGTATACCATTGACCAAGAGAAGTAAGGTCCTGGAATCTGTGTATTTAATAAACTATCCAGGTAATATTTATCAACAATTAAGTTTGACTCCCAGAAATGGATTGATTCAAGTAGATTTACATTTTACTGAAAAAGGAAACCAAGGGCCTGGAAAGGAATTTTGCATGCAATGCTACTGGGAATTGATTTTGGTACACATATTTCTTACAGCAGTTTTTCTCAATCTTTAATACCTATACTAATGTGGAGATTTTGTTAAATATATATTATAATTCAACAGGTTTTGGATGCTACCTCATATTCTGTATTTCTAAGAAGTTCCCAACTAATTTCATTGCTGGTCCTTGGGCAATACTTTGAGTAGTAAAGATTGCAGACCATTCCAGAAGCAGGATGGTACAAACTATACATCGGATAGTGTCTGTGTGTGCTGGACAAAGGATTCTGGGTGCACAGGTGTTAGGAAATGCAAAATTCCTTACAAAATGAAATGGGAACATTTAATTATCAATCCAGCAACTGATATTATAATTGAAGAGACTTTTAGAATGATAGATGATAGAGTAGACTTTTCTGGCTGAGAGCAACACATTTCATACTCAGATAAGAATCAGTGCTCCCCCACTCCCAAACAAAGGAAAAGAATTACAAACAATTACTGTGTCCATTATACATTTAACCTCAGTTAAGCAGGTTTACATATGCTGAACTTGATTTTCTCATTTGTAGCAGAGCTATGACAAATGGATGATAGACACAAAATCCACTATGCTGAAAAACATGACTCAGATATTTGTATGTGAAGGTTGAAACAGTAGCCCTAAAGAGTAAACAACCCAACCCAATGTCCATCAGCAGATGAATGGATAAACAAAATGTGGCATATATATATATATATATATATATATATATATATATACACACTCCAAACCAAACAAACCCACTGCCAATTCTGACTTATATCTACTTTTAGGACAGAGTCGAACTGCCCCTAGGGTTTCCAATACTACAATCATTACAGAAGCAGTCTGTCACATCTTTTTCCCTTGCAGTGGTTTGTGGATTAGAATTAGGTACCTTTGGTTAGCAGCAGAATGCTTTAAGCACTATGCTACCATGTCTCCTATATAGACATACAGTAGGATACTACTCAGCCATAAAGTCCTCACACACACCATGACATGGATGAATTTTGAAAACATTATTCTACCCGAAATAAATCAGACACAAAAGTTTACATAGTGTTGTTGTTGTTGTTAAGTGCCATCAAGTTGGTTCCGACCCATAGCAACCCTGTATAGGGTTTCTGAGGAGTGACTGGTGAGCTTGAACCACTAACTTTGCAGTTCAAATGGCTTTGCTGTCTAGCACATTAACCCACAGCACCACACCAGGACTCTTTACATAGTGTAGAAAGTGTAAATTTAAATGGAATGCCTAGAATAAACAAATTCATAGAGATAGAAAGTAGATTAGAAGTTACCAGGGGCTGGGAGTAGGAGATGAAAGGGAGTTATTGCTCACTGGGTGCAGAGTTTCTGTTTGGGATGATGAAACAGTTTTAGAAATATTGGTGATGGTTGTAAAACATTGTGAATATAACTAATGACACTGACTTGGTCACATAAAATTGTTAAAATGGCAAATTTTATATATTTTAGTATAATTTAAAAAAATCTCTCATGCTTTGTTGTGAATCATAGATCAAAAAAGTTCATAGTTTGGGATTCTCTGAAGGAATTAAAATTATAATTATTTCTGGTATGAATAAGATGGAAAGCAGATAAGTGTTTCTTCTCATTTCTCTAAGAACAAGCTGTAGACCAAAGAGCTGAGAGAGGTCATGGTAACTGATGTAGACTGCCTCTGGGAAAAGGGGAAGTGGAGAAAATGTTGGTAATAAAGAAAGGGGCTAGTTCTTTTAATGTGGTTCAAGTGTAGTATTTGACTCAGCGGAAAGTTCTAACCAATTACAACTGGACAACAATGTCAGCTCAACTATGGATTTCACTATGGACATGTCACATTAGATTAATATGATTGATAAAATTACCATTTTGTTTTACCATGTGTTTTAAAATGTAAAGAGTTAGAGAGGTCAAATAGAAATAAACTTGCCCTTTAACAGCAATGTATTTCCTGGAATTACAGCCAACCATGACTTGGAACACCTAAAATGAAATAACATAGATAATAATTTCAGTGGTTCTGATTCATATGATCTAAAATATTGCTATAACTAAAAACAATTTTATTTTAAATTAGAAATAATACCCACTTATATAAAGGGTTTTATTATAGTACTCTGTGCTATTTTCCTCTTTCTTCCTTGGCCACTTTTTTCTTCCTTTATTTCCTTTTGTTCTTCAGTGCAGAGACAGTATGGACTGAACCTGCCTTAGCTCAGGGTCAGACATAGCAAATTCCCTCTGAGTCAGGACAGCTGGGACAGGACTTCTTAAGGGCCTCCACAAAGACATTTTGATGGCTATTACCTTTCTGTGCCTGCAAAGATTCAAAACCTTGGGAACCCTATAAAGGATGACCCAAACCTTGGTATGTTCAGTAGCCTCATATGCATATGGAATCCTGGTGTGGCACTGTGGGTTAATGCTCTGGACTGCAAGATCGGTTTGAACTACAAAGTTGGCAGTTCAAGCTCACCAGCTGCTCCTGAGAAACACGGTCGCTATGTGTTGGAACCAACTTGACAGCACTTAACAACAATAACGTATGCATGTGAAAGTTGGGAAATGAATAAGGAAGCCCATAGAAGAATGGCTGCATCTGAGTTATGGTGCTGGAGAAGAATATTAAAAGTGCTATAGAGTGCCAGAAGAACAAACAAATCCGTGTTGAAAGAAGTACTGCTAGATGCTCCTTAGAAGGCAGGATGGCCAGACTTCATCTCTCATACTTCAGACAAATACCAGAAGGGATGTCTCTGGAGAAGGACATCATGCTTGGTAAAGTGTAGCGTCAGCAAAAAAAAGGAAGACCCCCAACAAGCTGTATTGGCTATTAAAGGATAAGCAGCAGCTTATGGGCTCAAGCATAGCAGAAACTGTGAAGATGGCACAGGACCAGGCAGTCTTTCGTTCTATTGTACTTAGGGTCACTAATTGACTCACCTGCCCTTAACAACAAAAATGAGTCAGAACTGACTCGACAACACTTACCAACAACAACAACATCTTAGAGTTGTAGTCATCCTTCTCTGGGAAAATTCATCTTGGGAAGGAATTCTTAATTCCAGCTGTGGGCCAGTCTACCAGAATGGCCTCATTATATTCCTGGTTCTTGATGCATGGTTGAAAACTGAGCAGCAACCATGGCAACCCACTGCTATCGAGATGATTCTGGATCATAGCAGGACATAATAGAGCTGCTTCCTAGGTTTTAGAGATTGTAAATCTTTACAGGAACAGACAGACCCATCTTTCTTTAGAGGAGTGGCTGGTGGGTTTGAATTGTTGGCCTTACAGTTAGTAGCTCAATATGTAATCCACTACACCACCAGGGCTCCATGCAGCCCATTAGAGTTTCCAATTCTACTTTCTGCTATGCTGTAGACTATCAGAGCTACATGGGAGATGACAGGCTCCCATTTAAATGACGCAGTCTGTAGTACATTTTGTCAGCAAGTTTAACAAGGGACCTCCACAAGGATACATTTTCATATTGTCTAAAGGACCATTGTATATTTTTCTTATTTGTTTCAGTGATCAATACAAACTATCTGCAATGGTGGCTAGATGTGAACCATGCATGTCAAGTTAGGGTATGCCAAGGAGGGGAGAAAAGGAAGAAACCAGTGATATTATATCATTACTATGTGACAGGAACAGTTTTGAGTTATTTATTTATTTATTTGTTTAATACTCTCAGAAATGCTTTGGAATAGATGTTATATCTTGCATTTTATGAATGAGGAAACTAACAGTTCCCTCAGTTCAGGGGTCCCTCTAAAAGGGAGTCTTGCCCTCGTAGGAATAAGTTCTATATACTGGGGGTCCAAACAGCAGGGTATTTAACTTGTGTTCTTTTTATATAGTACAATATCTGTCATACCCAAACCAAAAACAATTCCATACACTCATAGTAACTTTATAGGAAAGAGTAGAACTGCTCCCTAGAGTTCGGGACTGTAACCTTTACAGAAGCAGATAGCCTCATCTTTCTTTTATGGAGCAGCTGGTAAGTTAGTAGCCCAAAGCTTAACCCACCATGACACCAGAGCTCTTATTGCCCATCATATCACCTAAACCCACTGCCATCGAATTGGTTCTGATTCATAGAGACCCTTAGTAGGTTTTTCAAGATTGCAAATCTTCATCTTGTCATCATTCTTTTGCAGAACAGCTGGTGGTTTTGCATCTCTGATCTTGCAGTTTTCTAGCCACAACCCAGTGCGTCATCTGGGCTCTTATTGCCTGCCATACAGTAGGTGCTAAATGTATGTTCAGATGAGTGTTAGGCCAAGAAAAAATAAAGGTAGAAGGTATCCCCAAGTGTGGAACATAGACTCAAAGGAGGTTATTGTTGATAAAAACATATGTTTATTTTCATAATACCTGAAGTTACTTGCCTCTGTACTTTTGTATACCCTCTTTTCTGGAATACCCTTTGCACCTTCCTGCTGAATTTCTACTTATCCTTTAATAGTTATTTTATATAACAGCTTATTTTATTTTCACCTTTTCCTTTCCAATAAATATTATTCCCTTTTCCCTACATATTTGATTATTGTATCTGCTATTCTCTCTGTTTTATTTTATTTTATTTTTTTAAAGGATTTTATTGTGGATTGAGTGGAAGTTTAAAGGGCAGCTCATCAGTTTTACATTAAAAAAATCATACACCTTGTTCCATTATAATGATTATAACCCCCTCCATGTACCATCAGTTAACAGTATTTCTCTCTATTCACTTTAGTTTAAAAAAAAAAAACACACACACACACTCAGGCATAAATAATAATTTACACCTCCAAAGGTCACATTCTGCAAGTCTGCCTCCTGATCACCAGCTCTTAGTCCCTCTTCTCCCATGAATCTAGAGTCCTCAGCCGCTCTCCCTTTCCATGACCCTATCTCTGCCTCAGTCTCTGGTGTCGCTTCTTCTCTCAATAAGGTCCGCATTCTGCTTGTGCTCTGTTTCTGGACTGTAAGATTAACCACTCCCCTTTTTTTGTTACAAAACTTCAACCTTTACAATTGTGACAGTCACAATTAGTCATGATAACAGTTATTCACTATTGAATCTTATGAATCTTATCCCCATCTCTTTTTATCAGATC